CTGACAATAATGAAGTCTGTTTACAAATCAAATTACGTAATGTTCCAGAGATAATTTCCTTGCAACCACCTTTGTTTCTATATACGAGTTCTGAAAGCAACCACCATTGTGTTTTGCACACTTTAAATACCACGTATCCTCAAAAAATATCTAGAGGCATCATATCAGGTGATCTAGTGGGTCATTCCAAGAGACCGTGCCTGTCTATCTACAGTCAAACCCAAATAGGCTTTCAACTGATGTTGCGTTTCAGAAAGATGAAATACTTCGTTTCTATAGGATTGTTCAAAAGTGGCAAGATAATCATCTATGCCAGTGAATAGGCAAACGCGGTTCCTCATAATGACCCATTAGATCACCTAATATGGCGCTGTTAAACTATTTGTGCCGATTCATCAAATAGGCATAAAGTATATGTAACACAACCACCGTCTTTGCCAGATATCATAGATAGAATATAAAATGTTCATCTATCTGAGAAAAATAGATATATATTTTGAACAAAGGTCTTTTTGGGAAGGAAATCGTAGTTTTTTTTAATAATAATAACAATTTATTTTCCCAAGAAACATACAATGTTTACAGCAGGGAAAAAACTTAAAAAAAACTAACTATAACATAATTGAGTACGAACAGAGCACACAAATAAAAAGATATATCAGAACTGAAACTTGATAAAAAATATAAATATACATACATATATATTTGTGATGCATTGTTTGGAACCTTTGGTGTAGTAATGAATATTAATGGACTTTTTTCTCATCACCAAGTGATCTTGAAGATGATCACTTGGTGATCGATACAAGTGTCGAGGTGTTAAAATAACGGTTTGGTGTTGGGAAAAACTCCAGTAATATACATATATATTATTCGATTTGTTCTCCAAACATATGTTATGAAATTGAATCAGATATCATTCACAGGATTGCTACACACTATAGTGCATGAGAGAGGTGAAATTACACTTATATGTCATCCTCAATGGCGGACATCGATGTTTCGGATTAAGGCACTTGCCTATCTGGATAACATTATAAGATGAAGAAACTCCATTCATAAAATTACTACCTTATATCACGAATGAGTTAAATCTAATCATGTCATCGATGATGAAATGTAACGACATTCATTTGCTTCCTTCCTTCGTTTGGAAGATTCCCACATTTTTCGTATGAAGATGCAGAAGTAGAAAGCCAAAACTTCTCTTTCTTAATAAAAGTATATTTTTCATGTTACTTTATCTGATATCTATTTCAATACCATTATGACTGTATATGTTTGTATCTGAAAAAAAACTACTGTGTGAAGTTTTTCACTTTTTTGTTTACTATGGTGAAATAGGTAGCCAAAAATATTGTTTCCCATCATCGGTACCATTCAAATGAGTTATTTCTAATTTTTTACTGTTTAGAAAAAAAACATGTTGGCTTTCCACATGAACAAGATGAAATGAAAACTTTTGAAAAGAAAAGTGCATAGGTACCACAGATATTTATTTAAAATGCAAACAAGATCATCACATCAAGCTTGAAATCAAATTAATTCATTCAAATATATATTGAAATAGTTTCAAATTTCAGTTAGCCCAATTGATAATGGAAATCCATAAGATCAAGACTTATCTATGTTCAAAAAAACGCAAGTTTGACATGTAATCGATGCCAATACAGTGTATGATTTCGTCTACAAGATGCAAAGGATAATAGCAATAGAGAGATGCAAAAAAGAAAGGGGGCTAAAGGAATCACCTTGAAATACACCCCTTTCAAAATTGACCCGCTCTGTTTGAGCTCTCACTCGACCATTGAAGCGAGTCTTCCGGAGTGGTACCAGTAGCATCTGAGCAAATGCAAGACTAGCCTTATTATTATTACTATTATTATTATTAATGTATACTCAGGTACATTCTCACGATGCTATAGTTAGCCAAAATTTTCACCTTTTCAGGATAATATGTGACATCATACAAATTACATTTCTCAAAATGAAAATTGCTTTTGCCCGTCAAGTGTATGTGATTAATAATTTTAATGATTGTATTTTTTCTACACTACATTATGTACCCACACATTTTTTATAGTGTAGATTAGGATTTTCCATTCTGAAAACCCATCTAACTAACAAAACTTTTTTTCACTGAAATTCATATTAAATTTTACAAGAGGAACACTCTTTTCCATCATTTGTGTATCCATCACTTTCACCAACACAACCAAGGTAAGAATAATCCTCGAAGTGGGTAGGGGGTCAAATAGAAGTCTTTTTAAATTCTCTTTACATTAGTTTTCGAATTTTAAAATTCCACTGATTAGTTTTATAGAAAAAATTCGTTTTAAAATTTGTTTTTAAATATAAATGTTTATTATTTGTTCATTAAAGAAGAAAGTAATACAAATCATGAAATAACAAAAATTAATTAGCGCTCCGAGGCGTCTTCATTGAATCCAGTGGCGCATTTGCTTTTTCAGCTGCAGGAAAACCCGGAAAAACCTGCAGCATCACATCATCTGAAGATCTTGATTTGCCAATGTCCTCTCTTTCATAAAACCAAATGTAGGGTGTCTCCAGAGGCTCCAATAAATTCAATACATCACCAGAACATTTTGTGACACGACTATCGTCAAATTTGTTTAGATGCTTACTTACTACTTACTTATACTACATGCGATTTGCACTTATGCATACATTAGACGGAAGGGTAGCGGTTGCCCCCTCAATATCATTATTGTCAGTTTTTTCTCTATCAACTTATTTTCTCACTTCGAGACCGATAGGTTTCATAAAAGACCTTCGGTAGTTTTGCCAGCCCAATTAAAATGCTGAATTAACGCTTATACATTTGTTGTCTCTTTGCCTTGAAGAATAGTTCTTTTTCATTTGGTTAGTCTGTATTGTTGATTTTTAGTAGGTGAATTTCAAGTATGTAATTTCTTCTAAAAAAAACATGCAAGAAGAGAGCTAATTTATATAAATATAATACTACAGGTAATCACAATTATGTTATGAAAAAAGCATATCCTGTAATATGTTTTAAGCTATGATAGAATATCATGAAGTTGAAACTGAAAAGAAGAATACCTACTTCACTAACCATCTATGAAAATACTAATACCAAATCATCGTTATATGTTCTGCTGAACGATAAATAAAATATAAACTTTTCTCCTAGAAAGCAGCTGGTTGGTTACTAAATGAATTTTGATAAATTGGAGATTTTAAAACACTAATTTTCTCTAGCCGATTTATCCATTCTAACTATGATGGAAACATTTTTAATAAAAATAAAATATTGTACGAAATGTAGATAATTCTATACTTGAACAATTTTTGAATATCTTCAAAAGTACTTATTTACACAGCAATTCAACTTCTCCATCTTTATACAAAAAAAGAGTGAATCTACCAAAGAATGGAAGAAAGCAATCAATTTCTAAACTAAGTCTTTTTGTGTCTGAAAGTTACTTCTTGACATGATCTACACATCTTTGTAAAGAATTTATTTTAAAATTAAATGTATAAAGATGGAGAAGTAGAAAGCCAACATTCAAAAACAAATCTCTCCTAAAAATTGACCTCTTTCAATTCGAATACTTATTCAAATATCATTATTCAATTTTATTCTATTCTAGAGCACGAACCGAATATTCTTCGATCGAAGAGGTAAACATTTGATAAAACATTTAAATTGAAATCTATTTCCGGCGATCAGACGGTTTTGAGACCTGTATTCCATGAAACTTCGGCACTCAGTAAAACTTCTTTCTCCATCATTGTAGAAAAAAAGTGGGAATCCTCCAAATAAAGAAAGAAAACAATTAATTTCCAAATAAACTCTGTTGGTGTCTGAAAGTTACTTCTTTGCATGATCTACACATTTTTGTATAGTTTATTTTGAAATTAATTGTATAAAGATGCGAGAAGTAGGAAGCTAAAATTCAAAAATAAATCTCTTCTGAAAATATACCTATTTCAATTTGAATACTTATTCAAATTTCATTATTCATTTCTATTTTATTCTAGAGCACGAACCGAATATTCTTCTATCAAAGAGGTGAACATTCCTGAAGAAACATTTGAATTGAAATCTATGTCCAGCGATGAGACGGTTTTGAGACCTGTATTCCATGAAGCCTTGGCATCTTCCATAAACACAAAAGAAATCCCCACTGAAGAAAGGTAATAACAAATATAAAATTGAATCAATATGTGCTCCTTGCGAGACACCTGAAGTTACCTTTCTTATGTATGATATTTAGGGGGTGATTCTGAGAAGAAAATTTTCTCAAATCAATGTCAAAAATTTTTGTATATAGTATAACCATAATTGAACAGGAATACCAGTTAACCCAAATATCTCTGAAACAATGTAAAATTTCGAAATTGAGCAGAATAGAAAAAAGTTTGAATACAAAATGGGCAATTCATTTGTTTTTCTTAAGAAATAGTAACCAGTGACATCGCAAAAATCGCTAGGGTTGAAAGGATCAGGAGAATTTCCCATAGAAACACCAACTTAAATAATTTGTTGACATTTGGGAACAACTTTTATGTTATCAGAGAACAGGAGAAAGTAATTATTACTCTTCAGGATATGAGTTTTGGATGAATTTCAAAAACCATTAAAACACTAATCAAATAACTTTTTCATTACGAAGTGATGTACCTCCAAATTCACATCTATCAAGAAATGTTTCATGAGTAAATTTTTAGTAGATTCTGCAAAGAGTATACCCTGTTGCTGATGTAATTGTTTTTCAATATCAGTTGTAGTTAGTTTTTGAATGATTGTTTTTATTTCCCTGCTATAATCGATTTTCACTTGCTATCGTCCAACCCGTGTTAGGAATCACACGTTAAAAGATAAGACCTCGTTAATCCGTAGCTCGCACAAGTTTCGTCTTCTGGAGGTTGTCGTTCGTAGGGATGCGACAGCTGCTTAAAGGACAAACAGATTTAAACATTGTATGTTTCTTGGAAAAATAAATTCTTATTATTATCATCAATCAATTACCTGTTCAAAACTTATTTCGAAGTTAGGACTTAGCACAGATTTTGGTGAATTTAAAATGCTGATTTAAAATTTTCATTGCAGAAATAAAATTTGACATAACGAATAAAAATTCTGATAAATCGTATTTTATTAAGGGCTGTTCAGGTGTCAAAATTACAGTTAACAATCGAACTCAAATTTTGGGATAGTTTGGTTAAAAGAATATATAAAAACTGAATTTAAATTTTTTTGCAGACTGTTGATTCACGAGGATGTTTAGAATTATGAATTTTTTTTTGCATCCTAGACTTAAATTGCATGAAATGCGTTAAGAAAGGAGAAAAAATAAAACTGTATTACTTCATCAACAATAATTCTACAGCAATGATCACAAATTCACTATTAAGTTTTTCTAATGGAGCTTTCTGGACAACTATATAATATAAAACAACCATAGATAATAATGACAAAAAATAATGGTAATGCAATTTTTCTCTATTTTTGCAGAATAGGGATTGATACTCCAATTATCAATAAAGTGGAAATTCCCATAGTCAACAGTCCAACAGAAGCTACTATTGGCAAAAAAGAAAATTTCTCAGTTGAGGAAACTAGGTAAGGAAATCAAAGTTGTCACTCCAAAATATTGTGTTGAATTTTCACAGCTCGACATTGGAAGGCATAAGAGATGTGCAAGACTTCAAAAAATTTGAGAAGAACATCCCTATGATGGAAGAATTATTTGAGGAAACTAACCATTCCCTGTGGAGTGGCGTCAATTTTTATACAGCATACAAGCTAGTGGAAGTATATCCCGGTGTACCAGAATATACTACGGTCTACAAAAAATTTGACGACTCTCTCAGAGAAATCAAATACATCTATCGAGTTGAAAACCCATTTCTTTATGCACAGTATCATCTCAAGATGAAACAAAAACAAAGCATGCATGGAGTATTGAAAGTGAAAGAACATTTAGTGTTTCATGGAACCAAGGAATGTAACGAAGAATCAATCTGTAAAAACAACTTTGATTATCGAAAAATGGGATGTTACGGTTATGTATATGATAAATTTGGTAAGGGGATCTCCTTTGCGACAAATACCAACTACGCAATGGATTATCCAAGACGAGATTCAAATCCAGTACGTACCATGTTTTTCGCTAATGTTTTAGAAGTGGAAAGATGTTCTGGGGAATGTGGGTTGATTATACCACCAGAACCAGCTGACTTATCGGCAAGCGAAAATGTTTATGTCAAGTTTTTCGATGAGTTCTATCCAAAAGATCTCGTACACTATAAACGAAAATAATTTCAGAGGTTTCTGATATTTGGTTGACTGATTTTTATGATGAAATTATACTACATATCCAAAACAAGTACCTTTCCTAATCACCAGAACTGCAATACTCGTCTCGTCGCGCAATTTGCTAACCAAGTTGGCGTTTTCAGGAGGAGAAAGCTTTTTTTTTTTCAAAGACAAAAAATAAGCACTACAGAAAAATCTTTAAGGCGCTCTAAGGTCGAAAAGAGTATTTCAGTTCTGGTGATTAGGAAAAGTACTTGTTTTGGACTTATTCTACGCCAGGAGTTCCAGTTTTACCTTCATTGTACCACTATGTTCAGACATATTTTTGTTAATTGAAAGTTAGGATCACTATAACCATCTTATTTCTTATCTACTCAAAGTTATTATCAATTTTGCCATTATTTTTGGATTTCAAATATATTTTGAACTAATTTCAATATATCAATATAGAGTCAGTTCTTATACTTAATATCAATTTAAAATTCAATATGAAATGAGGAAAGTTACATTTACAATATTATCGATAATTGTGCTTCCAGCAAAAAACCTGTTCTACAATATGAATATGTAGTTGATTAATACATTGAGAACTACTTTTATATAGACATTTTTTATTTTCATAACGTTGCTGTCAAAACGATTTCATTAATAAAAATAAAATAAAATGGGCCAGTTTACATTTTTATACATCCTTAGTTCAAAATGTTATAGGAAATTCGATTTAACAAGTCAAAATGAAAAATATTCATATATTCAATGTAAAAATATGAATATATTTCTAGTGCGTACACACATACAGTCACTACATGATGTAAAAGTACAAATTCATTTTTTCAAGATTATTCAAAGTTGATATGGACATCTTAATCCAAGATCCCAAAGGCAGCAGCCCTATATCATTATAATGATGATATATTTCATTATTGATATCTAATAATCCCCAAAAAACAATCTACCTCTGGTATTAATGCCTCATTACTATATTTGAGTTTACCATGTGGAATGTGAAGTTTGGTTCATATTAAGGGATTGAATAAGTCTCAAAGAGAGCCATCTGCCTTGTAGTTTTTTCCAATACTGGTATACCAGTCAAATGCTCATTCAGATTATTCAATTTATTCAAAGATGGTGAAGTTATTTTCCAACATCAAAGATGGCTTTATCCCGAGATGTGCATTTGTGCTTAAAGGATGTATGACTCTCAGCCTATCGGAGTCATTGATGAAACCTTCGAGATACCAGGAGTCCTCTCTTCCCGATAATGTGGAGCTTAGCCGTGATGGATCGCTTTTCCCTAACTACTCCTGGAATCCTTTATGGATCATGAGGGTCCATACTCCTGTTTTCTGACCTCTGAGCAGGTCAGTAAACACTTACACTTATAAGATTATTAAACCAAACCTGAGGTGAAGAAGTCCTGAATGTATCATTATGAGAAACTGATTTATAGATGACCTTATTGGAGATTGTTACGGTCATTAGAGTGGACATAGTGCACCCTGAACATATGAAAACTTCAATATTGACTCATCAGCTGGATTCTCTTCATTATGCCATTATAGCTGCCGTTAAGAATATTGCACAAGTACAATTCTAGAGCTGCAAATTTGGACTTGGATGCCTACAGGTTATATGAGTTGATCTGACTGGTAGATGTAGTTAGTACCATGCAGGCAAGGAAGAGGGCACCACTCTGAAATATTTCACAGGTGACCTACTTTCCAAGCCACATGATCGTTTTGCGATACTCACTCCTCAGAATGCATATAATTCTTACTTCATATTACTCTAAATGGTATCAAAATATTAGCTTTGCAATAAGAAGTAGGTTTGTGGATTCTGTGATCTTGGTTATTAGTAGTAAACTAATATTCAGTCAAAATAAGATAAGAAGTAGGGAAACCAATTTCCAAGAAAGGTTCGGAATAAATGTTTGTTTGAGAATTGTGGGAACAAACATCCTTGGCCCTTTCATTTACGATGATCATTTGAATAATGAAATGTATCTTCATTTTCTATTCAATGAATTCAATGGCTACTTAGATAAATTGAGACTGAATATCTGCCATGAAATACAATATTATCAATAGGACGGTGCTCTTCCCCATAATGCAGCAATAGTAAGGGAACATTATTTAGATGCAACATTCCCAAGAAAATGGATTGGAAACAATGGACCAATTAACTGGCCAGCTCGATTCCCCGATCTTAGTCCTTTAGATTTTTTTTTGTCTGGAGATTCATAAAGGATAAAGTTTTTCAACACCAAGTACAGATATCGACCATCTCAAACAAAAAATAAGAGATGTACGTATTAGTATTATACTTATTATGCTAGAAAATCGCCACAGAAATTGCCACAAAAGTTAATAATAAAATAAATTGTTTTTCTGATTGATTGTTGTCACTGATGATGGTAGTTATTTCAAATGAAACGCTATAAAAATATCAAATGTGATATACCATTGGATTGTGAATTTATCACTTTATCAATATCTGTAATAAAAACGACAGGTCCGTATTAAAAAAAAATGGTGGCTATGTTGACACGAAATGTTTCATCGAATATAATAGCATTTTCCTTTTCCATTTTTTGATATTCTCCGAAATAACAATTCCATTAGAAAAAAACCAAAAACAGCATTTTTGGTTTTCCCGGTATAACTCGAGAAGGGCAAGAGTCTTCGTAAATTTTCTTCGACCATTGTATTGTTCCCGTTGACAGTTACCTCATTTCCCATTTAATCGTTTTCGTATCTGTTGCGGTTTAGAATATATCAATGTTACCACATGATAAAAGAAACGGTCTTTATAGAAAAATTACTTTTAGCCAACTTTTTGAGTTCAAGTAATACTTTATTCTGAGATTTCCACTGAATAGTTTACAAAACCGCAAGACATCTTTCACTATACAATAGCGGTTATTGTAGTGAAACACAAGTTGCGGTTTTGTAAACTGTTCAGTGAAAATCTTAAAATGAAGTATTTTGTGAATATGGATTTTAATCAAGTATCGGTCAATTCCATGATATAAAAGTGCTTGAACCTGCATACACACACTACTTTCTGTACTGAAACTTAGTAGTTGATATGAATCCTCTGAAAACAATTCAATTACGAATTGAAAACTTTTCTTTAATCAATGAAAACGATACTGCTACCACTCTTGGGATTAACACCAAGAATATCAATATACTTTGGAACCCATTGAAGCTGTTAGTATATGTAATAATACTTTCAAGAGCACTTACATCGACTTCCTTATCTAGCCATGCTGCGACTTTTGGTCCAAATTTCTTGATTCCATATATCCACATTATCATGAATGAAAGCCCAGAGTAATATTCATGTTCCAAGACGTATATTTCTTTACTGACAAGGTAGGTGGATACTGTGAAGAAAAAGGTATAAGGTCCGGTGACACCAGTTTTCTTGTAAAACATCTGAAACCATTCCTCGGGGACAAAGCCCAGTCGAACTTTTCCTGGTTCCTGTCGTACCTAGTTGATAAGAAATATTTCAATAAAAATGCTCTTAGGAATTAAAGATATCTTAAAACCTCGCCAGTTAGTTAAAGTTGTTGTGGGTATATGAAAATAACCAGTCGAACTTTTCCTGGTTCCTGTCGTACCTAGTTGATAAGAAATATTTCAATAAAAATGCTCTTAGGAATCAAAGATATCTTAAAACCTCGCCAGTTAGTTAAAGTTATTGTGGGTATATGAAAATAGGTGATAAAAATTACTATGAATATGACATACTTCTTCAAAGAAATTGATACCAAATTGTTTGGCATGTTTTAAGAAAGCTGAAATTCAATAATCATGTAGTACCATAGTAAAAAGTATTAGTCACTGCTTACTGGAATGAGTTCAAATCAATAAACAAGGGTATAATTATTACTCTCGTAAAATGGATGACTTCATTTTTTCACTCAAAGAAATTATACAATGTTTATGTCGTTTCCTCATCTCTGGAGGATATATGACTCACTGTCACCAATTAACCTTCAAGATACTGAGCGATCTCTAGTCATAGAAAGCCTTGTCATGGTGATGAGTGTCCCTATTGTGAATTACGTACTTTGCCTTGATACTCGTAGGATCCTTAATGAAACATAAAGTACCAAATGATTCGACCCCGAAACTACAGATCAGATAGACTTCAACTAAACTAACCCAACAGTCCTTCTTGTAATTTGGATAAAAAAATAAAACTCCTTGGTTCTCCAACTTTTGATCCTGTTAAAAAACCTAGGAGGCTAGGTGGTGCAGCCAGAAAGCAACTTATCAATGCTTGAAGAGAAGGATTCTCATGAAATTTCCTTGCACCAAATTGCAGAATCTGCATCAGTGAGGAAACATACTCTTCCTGAGCAGGTCTGCAAAAACTTATGGTCATGAGATGATTCACCCAAACCACAGACAAAAAGATTGATTCTAATGTATCATGTATAACTAACTTATAGATGGCATCATATCGGAAGGTGGCTGCAGTCATTAAGGTGGAAATCTTACACCTTGAACACCCGACAATCTCAATATCAACTGGAATCTCTTCTGTGTGCAATTATAGCTGCCACAGAGGATATTCCAGTAGATGTTCTGCAGGTACAATTCCGAAGCTGCCCACTCTGTCCCAGATGGCTACAGGTTAACTGGGAGGGTCAGGATGGCATTTTTTGGCTGTTGGGTGCAGTTGGATTATGAAGTACCTGCCTAAGACCCTCTATATTCCAGTGTTTTTGAGTTTCTATTGCCTCTCTATATACTTTTGGATAGTAACTTTGAGTTTTGTCGAGTATATACATATATACAATCAACAGTGATAGGTGTGTCAGAATACAGAGGACGCCGGATTAGACAGGATCCGGATTACTGCAGGTCAACTGAATATCCATTTCAAAAAATAATATTTTTAATTTAATTTCAAAGATGAGGTGGTGCATTTCTGTGTATACTTCCAGATAAACAAATGTTAGCGAACACGTTAAACATATGTTCATCCAATTTATAAAAAATGTTGCATCAAGTTTACCTGCTTACAAGATTAAACATTCCTTTTTGAAGGTATAATGTTGCAACCATATTGTTTCTACAGAACTGTGCCATATGCCACACAGTAAATGATACAATTATTTCACTGACAGGAACATTTGATGAACGACTGATTCCACTACATGAAACTGTCAATTGGCCACCATGTTCATGCAATTTGATGCAGATTTTTTTCCACTTAGAATATGTGAAATTACGTGTCTACAGAAATAAAAAACAAGGTGACATGACATATTATTGCTAAAATATAGTCTGCTGTACTGAGAAGTTTGTGAAAATTAGATTTTCACATGTATGCATTATCTGTGGTTGGAACATGCTAGAAATCATAATTCAAACATTAATGCCGTGAAATTATGTATAATATGAAGCAAATTTCATTGATATTGAAAAATTTTTTTTTGTATTTCATTTTCATTTGAAGTTCTGTGGTTCTAAAAAAACCTCACTAGTATGGATAAGTTGGGCATCTTGAAGTTTGCACATTCATTAATTTTCTGAGATGATTGATTTATATTTAAGTACACAAGGCACATAAAGGTAATGGTAGGATATTCATAACAGAACTCACAGGCCTCCTAAAGGTTGGTAATTCATTTTCATCAGTTTTGGCCACTTGGGAGTTTGCTGAAGATGTACTTGTAGCTCTGATGCAGGCAGCTACAAGGGCTCTTGACGACTGTCCTGAAAAATCAAAATTGGGATATTTCAAGAGCTGATTGACCTATTACATAAATGATATGGAGGAATGACATAAGCTGAGGAGCTTTCATTAAGTTATCAATATCTACCTGAAAGTAACGAAGCCCTGGATAGCATTTTTTTGTTTTCTACAGTCTATTGGGTGCACAGCAAAACGTGAACAAAGAATTTCAATTGTTTTAAATGAAATTCAAAAAATGTAATAACCAATTCCGATCACTTCTATCCACCATAGACGTCAAATGTCAAAGGCACGGGTCACGATTTAGGAGATCGCGAACAACGTTGGCACAGTCCACAGTCCACTCAACTTTCACGGTACTTGACACTATTCTGTAAATTGCAAGACCGGCGTACTTTGATTCTCTGAAGAGATCAAAAGTCTGTGACTTCATTTTGTTATTCAAATCAATTTCCTCTTGTCTTTTCGCCTTTTAATTGCTAATAAGTAATATGAAAATGCAATACTTTTGTAGAAGAGCCACAAACATTGATAATAAAATGTTTCTAGAATTTACATCATTATATGAATAGTGAATTCGCAGTTATAACTGCTACTAGGAATTCACAGTTATATCTCATAGGGGCTTTTATTTTCCGTATTAGAGGCTTTACTGAACTCGGCTGGGAATTTGATGTCTGTCATGCACCAAAAATATGAGAGTCTGGCTTTCTAAAGCTCAATATACATATGGTAACATCTGGAAATTTTGAAATTCTTCAACAAACATATGTCAATATTGTCATAATTAGAAGGAGAAGGAATAAGATGAATGGATTAGGTGTCTGATCTCACACCTCGTGTGGAACGGTAAACTTTGAATTACAAATACGTTTTTTTTCTCCAAAATCTCTAGGAATACTTTTATCATGGTACATTTTAAATAAATACAAAATGGAATTCCGTAGGTGAATAATGCAATAGTTTTTTTCACTTTCAAAATTAAATGAATATTCTCACAATTGTAGAGACAAGTCAGCAGAGCTTACTCAAATGGATAATATATAATACAAGAAAAATGTAGAAAATCGATTTTACAATACATCGTTTCTTTAAGAATATTTACATCATTATGATATATTGTTAAAATCGATTATTAATGTAATGAAACTCCTACCGAATGATATCCAATCACATCTGAAAAAGTAAAACCAAAAATGTATTCGAAGAGAAATTTATACTATGGAATTAATTATTTCCAGAAATAATTGTAGCAAATATGAAATGTTCCGAATTGAAATCCAGCGGAATTTAGGGAGGAGATGACATTCACAGAGATCATAATTTATTGCAATGTAGGTATAAATAAATAAATAATGAAGAGATCTAATACATTTTGGTACCTATTTTATTCATAGAGGTGCTGAATAAAACTCAAATGACTGAGTTTAATAATGTCAAGGTGCCATTTTCATTTTAATGTTTGATTCAGGAATAAATTGGTGTTAGATGAAGGATTTTTTTACATTATGGTCCATAAATTTGAAATCTGAACAAAATACGCATGACAGTTTTCGATTCCAGCATCATCTATTAACATGTGTACAAAGTTGGATCAATCTCATTTCACACGTCGCGTCGATAGTTTTTGACATAACAAAAGCGAATCGGTACATACATCAGAGTTTCTATGTATCTCGATTGAAAACTTACAAACTTGACCTCGATCATTTGCCGATCTTGACATAAACAGGATCCAGACCCTAATTATGTTTCAATTTTCACTTGAAAAGGACACAATGTCTAACTTACCTCATACATACCTCATTACATATTACGGCGCAAAATAGTTCGCTTTCAATACCTGAACCCCTTCATTCTATCTGGAGAGTACTCTCAGGTATGAAAGATACAGATGCTGTGAGATGCTATCATCCATTTTGAGCCTATCTGAGGAAAATGTCACAGCACCACATCCTCAGATTATCGAGATAGTGTGAAGCAGTGTATGAAAAATTGTCGATGGCGGCATATATTATAACTGAAGATTATTCGTAAAACTAATTCTGGTTGCTGAACATCCAAATTATATCCCAATCAGAAGTGAGAGCTCGCGATTGATGAGCAAAAACTGCAAAAAATGTAAAAAATCTATATTCAAAGGTTCACATCTCGTAAACTGTACAATTCTGAGCTTTGGCTGTGGACACTTTCAATTAGCACATCAAGAACTACAACATATCAAAATTTCGGCAAAATTCAAGGCAAGCCATTTTTGTTCCCATTGTGTTTATTGTTCCTGTATTTGTGTTGGATATTGTTCCTGTGTTCCAGTTGTTTTCTGTTCGTGAGTTCCTGTTCATATTTTAATATTTCTGTAGTTCCCATTTTAACTGATATCAGCTCATTTTGATAGACAAAGTGCAACATGGCACGTCTGTCACTTCAAGCAAAAATTGAAATTGTTTTAATTGTTGGTGAATGGGTGAGGTCTTATCGTGAAGCGGCCGCTGAATTTAATAGAAGACACCCGCTAGAGGTAGCTGTACACCCTGGAACTGTACATAAAATATATAATATATTCGTGAGCACCGGCCAAGTAACAAAGGACAGAAAAATTGTGAAACATCATATTGATGATGATACGATATCGGCGACTCGTCAAGCTGATCCTAGAATTAGTTTGAGAAACTTATCGCTTCAACTCAATATGAGCTGCAGTAAATTATGGAGGTGTTTAAAGAGGCATAAAATGCATGCGTTCAAACCCAAATTTTTACATACTTTGCACTTTGAAGGAGATGAAATCCGCCATATGGAGTTTTGTTTATGGATGCAGGGAAATTATCTCGAAGACAGGAATTTTTTAAAGTATATCTTATACAGTGATGAGGATATCTTTACCACGAATGGTGTTGTATCTTCCCAGAACATGAGGTTTTGGGCTGAACAAAATCCAAATTGGGTGGTGACGGACGACTATTCGTTGATTTTCTCGAAAATGCATTTTCCGATGTGTTGGAAGAATTACCTCTGGATGTGAGACACAGCATGATTTTTCAGTTAAATGGTTCGCCAGTTCACACTAGTGACATAACAAGGGTTTGGTTGAATAGTAATCTACCTATGAAATGGATAGGACCCAATAGCCCTCTCGTAGTATGGCCACCACGATTCCCAGATTTAACTCCACTGGATTTTTATTCATGGAGAAACTTGAAAAATAGCGTTTACAAGGATATGCCAACAAATAAGGAAGATCTCCGTGCAAGAATTATACAAGCGTGTAGAGAAATCACACCTAGAGAACTGAGAAGAGTTGGAGGAAATAACAGAAGGCGCATAGAAAAATGTGTTCGATTGGAAGAAAATTTCATAGAAGGCTCGAAAATATAAAATTGTCAACAGTTAAATCATTTGAAATTGATTGTTTTGTTTTTCAATTGAAAATGTCATTTTGAAAGTAGTATTTCGAAAGAATTTTGAACTACATAACATTTTTTGCCACAAAATATCCTTGTTTTTTTCTAATGATAGGAAAATGAGAATATGAACTAACATTAACCATCCTAAAACCTCACTGATTACATGTTCTCGTTTCTCTTACAAATTACAATTTTCTCTCTTATTGAGGAGGAATAACTTTCCTGACAACAAAATAAAAAATAAATTATTTATGTGAAAACAAAAGTGGAGTTTTTCTTAAACAATTTCTTTCATGTTTTGATGTCAAAACCAAAAGAATCTACTTCAATTATTACGGAAGATACGGGGGTGTTTCCATGAGAAGTGAAACAAATTCGGATTTTTCAGGATTTACATTTTTTCAGGAAAAAAGTGTATTCGTAGTAAGTTGGTAGTCCTGATCACGAATCTAAAGGAATTTTGAGCCTATTTTGCCCCCTAATATGTTTTGCCGTAAAAATGGGGTGTTCCATCACGAGTGGCGGATAGTGTATATCACTTTGGCCAACCCCATTCAAGTGGTAGGTGTATTTTGAGCATTTCCATCAGTCCAGAGTTCTACCTCGAATACGGGTGATACGGAAGATACGGGTGTATTTCCATGAGAAGTGAGACACACTGTATAGGGATAGAAATGTTAAAGAAAAGTTGTAGGCAGAATTGTGCGTGATATTTATTCCAAACTTCAGCACCATACAAGACACCGACAGAAAGGATAACTCGATAGATTCCAATTTATTTTTGAGATATTCTGAGACCATATGTACAAGTTTCACCTCCACATAACCATTCTTCAACTAAAAAGTTCCTCAAATGTGCACCTAGACATAAATTCAAGGCGGTTTTTAATCGGCCAATATTTCAATCGGCCGTTTAGAAAATCGCTCATGTACGTTTAGCCTTTCAAATACGAATAATTCCGCTAAAACGAAATCTAAATCATTCAATCAATATAAATAACTATTCCAAAATATAACTTCGGATACGTATGTTGAATTTATCGATTCAGAAATTATTGGTTCAATGGAATTGAACACATAAATTGATGTTTTCGAAAAATACTTCAATGTGATATTTCCACTAGACAGTTTACAAAACCGCGATACGTATTGTTACGCCTGAAGATGCTATTGTATAGCGAAACACGTGTCAACTGTCAAGTGGAAATCTCACATTGAAGTGTCTTTTTATTTTATTTCATTTTATTAAAAAATAAAGTATCATATGCACCCGATGATATTTTTGTATCAATGTATTCCACAGTTCACATACATTTTATTGATTTACTTTTCGCTTGTGGATATTTTCCATCTTCTATGCTCTTTTCATGAACGAGTTGAGTTGGACGAGTATCCTATATTTTATGATCTCATTAGGAAATTCGTTTGCGTACCTACAACATGACCGAACCTTTTTTATACAATTTAGCCCTAGTGCCAGCTTTATCAGATTTGACAATCACGCTACTGTCCTCATTTCAAATAAACGTGAGGATTCTCTGCATCAAAGTTGCAAATCGATCATAGGTATAGGCTAATATCCTAGTGTAACCCTAATTCTCTTTACTTCAACAGTGAGAAAACTCTCACTCACGATTCTTTTCCATAATTACCAGAAAACGCAACCACAAATATACATATTGGTGATTTCTGTATCAAATAAATTCGTTCTGTTGAATTTTTAGGTTTAAAAGTTTTAAATCGGAAAAAGTATTGTTCAAATTTGATGTTTGAACTGAACTCTATTTGTCACATATTCATAAATTTTATTCCCAAATTGCGCTTCATCTAGCAGAAAAGCCAATTCTTGATAATCTTTCAATTTTGCCTATTTTTTTTTTAATTCATCAATTCGCATCAACCGCTAAGGTTATTAGCGACGGATCAGTACATATTGAAAAATGTTGGTAATGTTTGGTACAAAAATATTGTTTTAAGTTGGCCTTTTTATTTTCGAAATGTATGTGCATAAATCATTAAACAGATATACTCGTACATAGGTTCATTACGAATAAGGCAATTCATTCTTGTAATACAATAATTGTACCGATTTTCATGTTCCTTCCCATGTAAATATGTTGTTTCATATAAAAAACCTCCCGACTGGGGCAAAATATGTTTATTAAGTTCTCAAAAGACATAAGGAAACAATCATATACCTATACTAATGTAGCATCACTTTGAAAGTGCCCGTCATCGTACTCAAAAAGTGCGCCAATGAACTCGCCCCAGTATTTTGCAGACTTTTTAATCTGTCTTACAAAGAAGGGGTTTTTTTGTTAGAAGATTGCTCGCGTTCAGCCTATTCCCAAAGGGAAAGAAAAGTCTTCCAAATAACTATAGACCGGTCGCTTTGCTATCAGTGATTTTCAAAAAATGGAGAAAGCCGTAAACCACCACATCCTCAAATATTTGAAAGGTTTCAACATCTTGAGCGATCATCAATATGACTTTCGGGAACAAAGATCAACAAGGCGACCTTCTATCGTATGCCACCCTTATTTGAAATAACGCAATCAAGAAACTTGGAGAGTCAAGAGCTGACGCGCATGATATTTATATAGCCATGACCGTGTGTGGCATGAGGGTTTGCTGGTTAAACTTCGGTGCTATGGGTTGTCAGATCATTTATATGTATGACTCTTCAGCTTCCTGATCCCTGCAAGTGGCCGTTGATGGATATCTCTCGAATACCTTTACCATCAACGATGGTGATTCCCAGGGATCCATATTGTCTCCAATCCTCTTTTTATTGAAAAAAAAACCAAATCCAATATACAGGGTGATTCAAAAGACAGCTGCCCTCTTAAAGCTACCTGTTTCTGCCAAACGACGGTGGAGACTAGCAAATGTTGGAGCTCAAGGTCGTACTCGATTAGGAAATCGCTCCTGGTAAATACGTCTTGCTTCGCGCGCATTGCCATCCGCAAGTCCATAAACGAAATGCATATCGACTAAATGAGCATTATTGTTTAAATAATCCATTTTTTCAAAATAAGCGTTTTTTACTTCTACTTACGGAAACTTCAACTAAACGTCTAACTGTCACAAAATATGTAATTACCAAAATTACTCACAAACGTCAAATTTATTTCAAAAGCATTTTTGTAAAAAATGCAAAATATTCGTAATAACTTCAACATGCATCGATTATCAAATAATCGACTTGAAGTTTTCAAGTCCAAATATTTAGAAAACGGTTGCTTACAGCGACTAGTAACAAGCGTAGCTTATTTACGTAAATATGATAGAAGAATCGATTTTTTTACTGAAAAATGTGCTAGAATCAATTCAATATTACGAAAACTCAAGCATCGGTTGTTTCCAAAAAGATATAAGTGTTTTCGAACCGGATATGATATGATAACACACAATTTCACAAGTTCTGCTTGGATAAGTTTGTTGGGGGTTAAAATGGACACCAATATGTCTTGGTACAATTATGTCACTGGAATTACAAAGGCTGCTTCTCAAAAGCTTGGAAAACTGTACATTTTATTTTCGCAAATTTGATTTCATCTTTATATTCATACCCATGCTCAATCCCTAAAGAGATGCGATTGAATCAAAAGATGCAGTCTTGCCAGGATCACCCTGGGCGACCCTAGGAAGCAGGCGCAGAAGAAATATCTGGCGATGACCAGGAAAAATCTACGCTTGATAGTAGGATTTCTCACTGGCCACTGTCAACTAAGGAAACACCTCCATATTATGGGGCTAGGATGTGTGAACAGGGGGATGGAACTGTCAGGCATGTCTTATGTAAGTATCCGGAGTTATCGTCAATAAGAGAGTGTGTGTTCGGCGAGTCTTGGCCTACACCTGCCGATATAAAGGAAATGTCTCCTAGTGACGTGTCCACCTTCTTGGAAAGGGCAGAATTGACGATGACCTAGGAATACAACTCCTCGGGAGGATGTACAATGGGTCACATGTGGCCTAAGTGCTGGGGGCCTACACTCACCCTACATATATTCAATTCATTGCAATTTTGTGTTTCTTTGTATTGGTTTGACAACAATCCCATAACCCTATTCCTTTGTATCACTTAAGAACATTTGAGATACACGTCAACTATTGGAGGTAGACCTCCGAAGTATTAGGTTTGTACATTTCTAGATATTATTCTTATTTCACAGATATTCGTATATTCAGGTAACTACATTTTTATAAATTCTTTTAGGGAAGGAAAATAGAAATTTGAGATGAAATTACTTGTACATAAAGTATAATTATTCCAGTACTGTATTGTATTTTCGTTCGTAACATTTAATAAATTAGGTGATATTATTTACAACTATAATCTACAGATCTTGATACACTGTTTTAAATGAGACATTCTTTGGAATATTGTTATGACAGACAGACGACATGCAATTATGATCTGAGTGAAATGGAACAGTTGATTATAATATTAAATTGAATATCTTAACCTAATATTTACATTAAATTTAGTTATACAAGTTAAAAAATATTTACCACTAAACCTAGAATACATTAGAGTTCTTTGTACAGATTCTACACGAAATGTATTACAGTGATTTAGTTCTATGAGGAACATCCAATTAATTACTAAAAAAGTGCATAGTTATATATATTTATATAAATAAATGTACATCATAGTATTTACGATACTTCTCAGACTATCATTTCCACGTTTTTTTTCTACAAATTACTACATTTACAGATATCAATATCAATGGAGAATTGTAAAATCTGGCATTCTTTTGGTAAGTAACCATAAAAACGTTTTATGAATACTTGGCAATCATTTCGTCAAAAAAACTGCCACTTGAAATTATTGAAAATATTATTTGACCATCTTCTGTACNAATTATTCTGTAGTTCTGTAGATGTTCCATAACTTTGCCATATACTTTGGTCCATTTAGAATCTAGAAAGTGACCTTTTTTTCAACTTTGGACTGTATGTGTTATATGAGATATTTTTTGTGGAGTCAACGTTTCTCAACGTTTTTGGGTTTTACACTTCGCACAGACTGAAAAAGAAATCTAGATTAGCGGAGAATCTGCTGAATGTGATGAAGGACAACACTGAGAAGTTCACCAACAGAAGGTACTGCATAACAAGCACTTATGAAGAGAAGTTCTATCAATTACTTGTCGCCGATAAAATACAATGACGTAATTTGAAAGGATAATTCATACAATTATTATATGAATATTCGCAGTTGCCTCTAAACATATGTTCAGAGAATAAAAACTTCAAAATGTCATATTTGATAGTCTAAAAATGTACAAATATACCTACACAAGATATAGTCCGGAAATCAGGTTCATATTTCCGTCTTCAACTTCTGAGAAAGCAGATTCTATCTAATTTTACAAAGTAGGTATAAATACACTATCAAAATATCGTTTTGGTTGGTTTCCGGATTTTGCCGTGGTCTGTTTTTGTTACAATCTCCAAACGTTTGAACTGCAACTGCGGCACTCATCTTTAGTGACGCGGTCGAAGTACTCTTCTTGACGTGTCAACTGAAATGTCAAGAAGAGAACTTCGACCATGCTACTGAAGATGATTGCCGCAGTTGCAGTTGAAACGTTTGCAGATTTAACCAAAAAAGACCACGGTAAAACCCGGAAACCAACCAAAACATTGATGCCAGCCGTGAAAGCCTACATTTGTATATCAATATATCGTAGCGAATTCTTTGAGTTTTTTGTTTTTTTCGTATGGTTCTTTGGAACTAATTATTGATCTCGTTCTATTTCGGTGTGTTTTCACAAGGGGACCTGCCCTCAATCCTGGTGTACGTCCCTCTTAAAGTTTATATTACGCAGTAACTTTCTGGGGTGATCTTGTCCAGATTGCAGAATGTTTAAAACCCAAAAACATCGAGAAACATTATTTATTATTAAATTGATGGATGTAGCCGTTACTACGTGGTAGGAAATCATAATGAAAAGAAACTTCCTATGTTTTTTACCACTTTCATTTGTAACTAACGTTACTGCAGTTTCGTCCTATACGGATATTTTCAAACTTATTGTACAAGTTTCTTATTTCAAACTTATTGTATAAGTTTCTTACCAAAAACTTATTGTACGGACATTTTCAAACTTATTGAACAAGTTTCTTATTTCAAACTTATTGTATGAGTTTCTCATCAAAAACATTTTGTATAAGTTTGAAAATGTCCGTATAGGACGAAGCTGCTGTAACGTTAGTTACAAATAAAAGTGGTTAAAAACATAGAAAGTTTCTTCATTATTTATTATTATTTATTCGTTTACAAATGGGGGATAAATGAAATTATCATCTGAATAAAATACCAAGTTGATTTTGTGAAATTTCATACTATCAAATAATTCAACGTTGACTATTTGGAGTTTCATAAAATTTTCAATTCGAATTGAAAAATATTATCATGTACAAGAAGTTCATCACGTTTTCTCGTCAAAATAGTCCAATTGTTGATGAAAAATAAAACTACTCAAGAGGTATATTACTAATTCTCAAACGTCAATCGCTTTCCTCCTGGGTACAGGGTGAAAATTTTTTTGTAGGATAATCCATACTGAGTACAAAAGTGGCAGTCATCTGAATTATTCATTACAACACAGCATAGTTAAATGGACAGTTATACCAACTATGCAGCCTCCTTTTGGAATTTCTGTACATACTATCTAAGTACTATTTCTCTCGTTTTTCCGCATACTTCCGCAATAAGTACAGATTTCACGCAAGCAATGTCTTGACGACCAAAATTCGGTTGGTAATATTTTCTTCAGTCATTCATTTTTGTACATTTTCAGTTGCAGACGTGCTCCTCTTTCCGAGATCTGCATATATCACATACTACATTGCAACACCAGACAAACCTGCAGTTGCATTTCTCTTCTACTTCTCGTACTCTCGTTTGGTAACCTCTTCCACAACACAGAAGCCGACAGCCGTCCATACCAGGGCTGGTACGGTTGCATATTCTTCCGTGGGTTCCCAGAATGTTCAACCTGCAAAAAGATTATCATATAGTTTTCCTTTGGCTGAAATAGTCGATTTTGAAACAGTACAGAAACACTGAACCAACCAATGCGAAATTGAAAAAGGCAACGCGTTTTCTTCTAATAAATTGTGAAAAACTTCTATTGATATTTACACGTTTCAGATATATCAAAAATAAATGTAAAAATGTCGATATATTCAACCCTATTTAGGAGTCGGTTTTAAGGATACTTTCTGTCTAAAAAATCTGTTTAAAATCTATTTTGCCGTTAACCAGCTGTCGCACCCCTACGAACGACATCCCTCAGAAGTTGAAACTTGTGCGAGCTAAGAATTAACGAGGTATTACCTTTGAACGTGTGATTCCTAACACGGGTTGGACGATAGCAAGTGGAAATTGGTCGTTCAGACTTGGGCTTGAACCACCGACCAACAGGGCAGTCAATTCGAGTGAGTGAAAAAAGTACCCACGTCGAACTGCCTGGCTACCGACCGACCAATGAAGATACAAATGAAGATTTTTCATTGTCAAATAATCGATGAAAATGTTCTTTTCCATTAGTTGAATCAGAATTTGAAAACATTAAAAAAATAACATTTATTTCATTTTACTTATATTTTTCATTCAACAGCACTTTTTAAAAATTCGAGATTATATGAGTAAATACGTAGCGGTTTGATAGTTGTACAAAAAATAACATACAAGAGAACCTTTCCAATATTTTTCATCAACATTTTATCGTCTTCTAAGAAGAGTATTTCAAATGACTGAGTTGTTCAGCCACGGATATTTTTTGTTATTGTAGAATAATATTCCCAGCATTGTGCCACTTGAGAATCAGCAAGTGGGGTTGGCTGTTTTTATTCACTGTCTTTCTAATTGAACTACCGTTTGCTGCTTTCTGCATGTGTGTTAGCTTAGGCTGTAAAACGGTGAGCAAATTACGTTATCGAATGTCTGCTTCTTTTCAGTACCGTTGGTATGAGAATAACAAGATCACTTGTGGTGAAATTATTTCCCAACAGGATGGCTTACCAAAGTTGCCTTTATCCTGAAGTGTGTATTCGTCCTGAAAGGATGTATGACTCTCAGCCTATCGGTGTCATTGGCGGAACCTTCGTGATACCGAGCGTCCCTTCGTCGTAGAAAGCCTTATCACGATAATGTGGGGTTCGGACGTGATGGATCGCTTTTATCTAACTACTCGTGGAACCTTTTGTGGACCATGGAGTTCCTTAAGGAACCACGAGGGCCGAAGGATCCGACCCTCAATATAGAGAGGAACTTTTGATACTGTTTACAAACCTAGTGGGCTGAGTAGGATATCCCAAGAAAGTGCCGTGCACCAAACTGCGGAATCTGTATCTCGCGAGGAAACAAACTCTCTCTGAGCAAGTCAGTGTTCAGAGGGAGGCGGTACTTTTTCGGTAATTTTCCGCCTCAAACCTGAAGCGGAAAAGTACCGAATGTAACATCATGTGTAACTGACTCATTGATGGCCTCATTTGAGGTTGCTGCAGTCACTAAGGTGGACATCGTGCACCTTGAACATCCGACAACCTAGATTGAAGTGTTCATCTATTTCGAACCTATGTAAGAGTTTAGTGCTTCCGTCAGAAAATGAGTCATGTTTGAAGATCATCAGTGTTATTATTAGATTGACTGGTGCCTCAGATATATTTGTTTTTTTTTATAGTCAGTTAGTTTGACGCATGTTTGGTAATATAAGGTTTGTTCTGGTTCTAATATCCAAAACTGTTTGAAAACTGCGCAAGACATGATGCGTACAAGCAAAAAATCTCAAACAGTCCGAAATAGTCTCGGACACTTGGTTAAACCAGAACCCATTTTGAGGAGACTACTGTGCCACCTATCGTATATATGAAGAGATGAAGACGAGAAAATACTGTTGATCATGTCCATTTTATTATGTAGCGTATCCTTGAAGTCAGTTCAAATGTTATCTAACCTCAATCATCCTAGAAAATAACTCAAACAAATTTCCACATGAATACGCATGAGCAACGGGAACAGTTCTCAACAGTTCAGACTCGAGAGCAAGAACGATTCGGGACGATTCGATACAGTTTTAGGATCATTTCGCAGTCGAAACCAGAACAGAGGAATCATCAATCCGAAATTATCCTCAATAAACAAGAAAGCTCTATATCAACTGCGCATGATCCTGACATCCTAGAACCCGAATTTCGAAGAACCAGAACAAACCTATAGTTGATCATCACCCGTTAAAAGTTTCAGATTATTTAACAAAAAGCTTTGCACGGACTGGTTATCAGTCATATTAGGAAACGATAGTTGAAGTTCCAGAAAATCACAAACATTTTTGCCACCTCTTGAACATTTACTACAAAGTAAAAAAGTGACGATTTTTCCAGCAAAAGATCTACAAACATAAGACGAGATAGACTGTATGGAATTATTCAATCCAGAGCGGTCAAGAGTACTGGCTCACGAAGAGTAGTCAACAAGAAGTCCAGGAATTCGAAACAATCCTCTTGTTGTCCTAACGAGTATCTAGTGGACTTCAAAGACTCAATAAAATCGGTGGGAGGGAAAAATGAAACATTCTTACGAAACTGCAATTGCATGAATAATTATTTGAATTTGGTGAATATGTAGGACACATGCTCGTACTCGCCCATCGTTAAAACCTCGTTCTTGAAATTCTTCGTCATGAAGAACACTTGTGAAATGTTATTCAGGTATCAAGTGTTCCTAAATTATCTTATCCAATTTTCTTCTCAAGATTTTCAGGACAACTGTCTATTGATTCGTAAGGAAGAACATGTTTCACAGAATCTGCATCAGAATCATTTCTCAAGCTGCAATCGATACTTCTAAGTGATGAAGGGTTTCGTAGAGGGATCGATTCGGCTCTTGCTTCATGAAGCTCTTCAACTGAAAGGGAAGCGAGGTCACCAGATATTATTATTATTGATGTTTCACATTGGCCAGGCGCCTCGTGACAGTTCCCAATTATTAACATTAGTTTCATTATTATTAACCCAATGTTCTCAAAAAATGCTATTCAAGAAGAGTTCATGTGTTTGAAGACATTGAGCAATAATTGTTTCCGCGGTTTGATCAATCCAGTATTAAAAAAAATACATTTTTTGACATTATTTTTGACATTACTTCTGGAACCACTCGATATATAATCATGAAGTTATGAATAAAAATTTGTTTTTAACGGAATCCGAATATGCAGAACAATTTTTCACATGTTATTAGAAATTTAGTAACCTATATAATGGTGAATAATTTGAAAAACCCCACGAAATTTTTCAACGAAATATTTTTCACACAATATCGCAATATCGACCCAATCCATTTTGATATTTTTTCTCAATAATTCGTACAGTTGCAGCCTTAATCGATTTCCCAAAAAGTATTATTTTCAATTTAACTTCGATGAAATTCAAATATGCACAGCTTAATTACGTAATATTTGATTTTTATCAGTATAAAAGCTGTTATGACATGTGATGAAAAATCAGACTTACGCTTCATTCTTTTCGCAGTAATCCGGAGAATCGTCTAGATACACCAGATCGGTTCGTTTCGGCTTTTTCATGTCTTTGCTCATAGCTCTTAGCCTCCTCTCTCTCTTTTTAGTTTCTTTGAATCGTACGTGGGACGCACCCTCATAGCGTTGGAAGAGACCTTCTGCTACTGCTTTGAAGGAAGGAAGCCTTCTCCAACAGATCTGCATACTGCAGGAACCAGAAACTCCATGGCACTTACAGGTCCGTTGCATTCGTGATCGAACGCCCTGAAAAAATAAAAATACTTTGAAAAGCAACCTTATAGATTTTATTATTTCCTTCAATGCATGAATAATTCCTTAAGTCGTTTTATTAGCAAAATTTCGAAATTTATGAATTTGTACAAATTTCAAGTACACTTTATTTTCACTCAACAGTTCACAAAACCGCAACACGTGTTTCGATACAAGATGGCACTCTCAGGTGTATTCATATTGTGGCAAGATGCTGACCTATGGCTAGCATCGATGCAACGACGCGACATAATGTCACTATAACCACATTATAGAAGTAAATACCAGTAAGTTCACTCTCCGTCATATTTGGGTCAAGATTCCCCACCTCGAATTTTATGCACGGCCGAACTACAGCGCAACCGACTGAATCTGAGGCGTTTACCAAGCGAGCCAAATTGAGGCATGGAATATTAATTACAGAGTGAATCGTTGTGAGTGATGGTTTTTTATTTGTGAAAAATTTGTGTCTGGTTTCAAAATGGGCAAGTGTCAAGCTGTGGGTTGCTGTAATTTGCAGAGTGATGTCGGCATTCATTTTTTTCGATTTCTAATTGGCGAAAAAAAGGATATTTTTCTATTATTTATTATGTAAGATTGAAGTAATGAACATATAACGAAAATCATAAAATAAATTGTTATAGACCATATACAGTGGAGTGATTAAAAATCAAT